AGTTACTCCTGGACTGACTTGAACTGAGTATCGGATGTCCACGTTAAGCCCTGCAAAGCCTGTATTACTGCTCTTCCAAGTCTCGGGCGCATGCAATGCGAAAATTGCCAACTGGGCCCGGGCCAACTGCAGGAGGTCCCTCAGCTCCTCGGATGCTTTCTGTGCATTAATAATTATTATGATTAGCAAATAATAGAGATTCCAGTCGGCCTGGAACTTAACTAGAAGGATACATCACAATACGACTAGGCAGTAGCAAGAACATGAAGCTGAGGTTCCTGAACAGCTCGGGTGAAGTCCGCCATCGTCACGGGCTTATTGATGGGCTGCAGTGGCAGCATCCCGTGGGCATCGGCGATCTGGAATTGGGGATGTTGCACACGAAAATATATTTGTTAGAACATTTAAATTCCAACCCCTGAAAGACAACCAATCAACCCCTCAATGACTCAAGGATCCGAAAAAAGTTGCTTAGCACGCCGAGCCACAGCCTTCCTGCAGGCATGCATGTACACCAAACGGGCATTCATGCAGCACCACTGGCGAAACAGGATGTTGTATGCCGCCGTAGGATCGGACGGGAGGTTGTCCATGTTCTCCATAAACTCGTTCACCTGTGGATACCTTGATTGGAGCTTAACTCGGGGCACGCATGAACCACACCAGGTCCAAACCCACCTCTTCCTACAGCCACTATTCACTATTAATACTAGCTATAAATAATAATTAAATATAGTTGTTATATTACTTATAATTATTTATTATTATTATTATTATTAAAATATTATTACTTATAATTACTATTATTAATTATAGTCTATTTATTGATTTAAAAGTATTAAGGCAACACGGGGCTGAATCTTCAAACCGAGTTGCGGAGACGGCCGCCCGGCCGGCCGGCTGCTGCTTGACGGCTCGGACGCAGCACGAGAACTCGGCCGCCCACCACCACTGCTGCTAGCCGGCTCGGACGACGGAGGCCTGTACCTGTGAGGATGCCGTTTCTCGGGCGGCTGGCCAGCTTGCTCCGCCGCCTCCCGGAGCAAGCGACGCTTTTGCCGCAGCTTCTTATTGGGCTTGGAGCCTGGACGCCGCTTTTCCTGCAGGGGCTTTCTATTCAATCATCTCAACACCGTAAAATTAATTAACCCAAGTTATCTTTGGCTCAATTCAAGGGAAGGCTTAATTATTTATTATTTAGTTAGAGCTTACTTTTCCAAACACCGTCCTCGGGCACATCCTCATCCTCCTCCTCTTCCGCATCTTCGTCTCCGCCCGGCGGTTTCTCGGGCGGCTCCTCGTTCTTTCGGCCACCTCCACCGGCGGCGCTTGCCATGGCTGGCACAGAACTTCGATCTAAATGATTAATGTTTACAATTGACAAGGTACTCAATACTTCAAATTCTAGCCACTGACTACGTGTAAAATAATAGGTACATGTATGGGATTGAGACGAGGGCTCTCGTTCGTTAGAGAATTATTATGAGCCTTGCTACCACTAGCACTACCACACTGCTGCTGCTGCTACTACCACTACTTCTTCCACTACTTCTACTACTGGTGGCCCTGCTGCACGGGCTTGCTATCGTCTGGAGGCAAAGTGGGTGCTAAAACCCCAGCCGCTCAATCAAGTGCTTCACGAATTACTCGAGGATGATGGCGGCGGTGTCGGTCACAGCCACTGAAGTTTATTAAAAGTCTCATGAATTTTGCCAAATGCGGGACTGGACACATAGTCAATAGTAATAATAAATACCCTTTGACGTGTGGCCTGGATCTCGGACGTACCTCTGCAAACTCCAATGTGGCCCACGTTTAATATTTTTAGCAAGGTTTCAAGCCCCTTCGACCCAGAAATGTTTAGTCTTATTTGTTTATTGATGCTGCCACAGCCCTCGACACCCCGTCAATGGACCGGTCCTCGGACAATCGTGGTCAGCCAACGGCGAATCGCAGCGGGTGGCAGACCTGAGCGGCAGGTATTGCGATTGCGGGTGAGCAAGCTCCTTGGGTTGAAGGCTCCGAAGTCTAGAGTTTGGGGTTGTCGTTGTGGTTTATTTACGAATCTAAGTACTGAGGTGTGGGGCTGGGGACTGGATGTTCACGCAGTCCCAAATCCAAACACTCCCAACTTCGCAAACACAGGGCTCTTAATTGGCTGGAACAATATTGTATATTATAATGCAAAATCGATTGTGGGAATGCTGTGGCTGCTAGAGCATGCTTTTGATGTCTGTAGTCGCGGTCTTATAATCATAATAATTATATTGAGTTGGATCCTAGTAGCACTCTTCTTTGCTCTGGGCTCGGGCAGGAGGTATGGGTCGCTCGGGCAGTTGCAAGGATGGCTTGGTGGGGTGATGATCCATGGGACGCTGTTTAGTTTCTTAACTAACGAATGTCTATGACGATCAAAGAATGAGTATTATTATGATTGTCATGGCTCTCTTGAAGAATGAAGTTCCATGAACGATGCTTTGGGAAGCTCGGGCAGTTTCAACCTGGAATACGGAATGATCACTATTAGTATAATTATTACTTATTAGAATTATAAGCATTGCTATTCTCAGAACTCGGACAAGTCAATTGAAGCCTTCAGGTGGGGTTCGGGTTGACACCTCCTTTATTTATTTAGGGCTTACTAGTTGAAATTGAGGGTATAATTAGGGGGAATGAATCAATCAACCCCAACTGACTCCGTAACTGAGGCTCGGACCAGGGCCGGGCGGGGAGGGGAATGTGTATTATTAATATTATTATGGTTTAGGGTATAATTTAAGTATAGTCTTGATTTATTAGTAGGGTTTCAGACTACTGCTATTTGGGGGCTCGGGCGAGGTTGGAATGATCTGGTCGGGAGCCGCGGCCACCCAGACCAGTATCCGAAGATGCCAGGGTGAACTGAAAGCCGCATGCCGGAAGCCGGGAGCCTGACCGGTGGTCAGGCTGCCACGGCCGTCCAGGCCATGCCGGAAGCCGGGAGCCTGACCAGTGGTCAGGCTGCCACGGCCGTCCAGGCCATGCCGGAAGCCGGGAGCCTGACCGGTGGTCAGGCTGCCGCGGCCGCCCAGACAAGGCTGCTTCCAGAAGACCGGGAGCCGGGAGCCTGACCGAAGTCAGGCCGCCACGGCCGCCCAGGCCTATTGAGCCGGGAGCCTGACCGGTGGTCAGGCCGCCGCGGCCACCTGGCATCTTGGATGCTGTTGAGGGGCCTGGTGCAATGCACCAGTCCACCTCTTCAAACCCAAACCTCTAATAACCACTAATCCTAAACGCGCCTCGTCACGAAGTCCAGGGCCCCCGGCAGTTACTAGAATTAAATTAAATTAAAACTGAACAAAGAACAACACTAACAGTAACAGTAACAACCCATCAATTCAACTAAGCCTCAACCCGAAACCCCAGCCTGAGTCAAGCCCCAACCCGACCCCAAACCCCAATCAACACAAGATCATGCTCCACCCGACAAACCCGCAAAGCTCCAATCTGAACACCCTGAAAACCCGGACCCCCCGAACCACCAATCCCTAGAACCTCGACCCCTGAGCTCCAAACCCTCAACACCAAACCCGAAACCCCACCAACACGCCAAGGCCCCAAGCTGAACCCCTCAACAACCTGGGCCCCCCAAACTCCCAAACCCCTTGACCCCCAAACCCTAACCCCAAACCCCCACACCCTGGACACTAAACCCGAAACCCAAAGAACCAAGCTACAACCCTGGACCTGAAAGTGGGGCGCCGGCGTAGTGTCGCCGGTGCCCGCCGGAGGTGAAGGGGCGGGCTGGGGTTTAAGGTTAAGGGGAAGTTACAGGGGGATTTAAAGTTATGGGGAAGCTAATGCATATGTGTTATAATCATGTTGAGATAAAAATATTATGTGCAGATGATTGTGTAGGTGAGGCTCGGGCAGTTGTCGTTGGAATGGTTATTTGATACACTCGGGCGACCAGTACAATTTCAATTGCCACATAATATTAAACTAAGGTTAGATGTACTTAAGTAGGTGAGACTCGGGCGGTTCTTGTTGCTGCTACACTCGGGGGTATGGCATTAGTTATTTAACTGTTCTTATCATATTTACTACAAGAATTTATTGGGTAGCAAACAATTGGTTATTATTATTCCGTAGCTCTTATTCATTATCATAAGTAATAAGTTGTACATTGTCTTTGTAGTTGTCCAAATATTTAACCTATTGCTTCTCAAACAGTTATTAGAGTTCTTGTGATGGGCTGTGTTTGTTAAATTGTGTTCTTTCTTTGTGGCTCACAATTACTACACCGGAAGTATTACATATAAGCAACTACTCAGACTCTATTATCTAAAACTAATATAACAACAATACTAATCCTCGCATATTTAATATAATAATACTTGTAATTAGTTATAGTATATCTTAATACTAATTATATAAGAGTACCACTACTAATTATTATATTATATTAATACTAAATATATTAATACTAATATTAGCCACAGCCGAGGGCGAAGTTCGACGAAGGGGGCGGGGGTTCGGCGAAGGGGGGTCGAAGGGATTTGGGCTGCCCCCCCAGAGTGGTGCCTACGCCTGTTTGCCCTAGAATCCTGCATGACCCAAAATAAGGAATATGCCATAATTCCCATAGTTCAGGGTCCTGAAGGTCATGCAGGATTCATATCATCAACCGTATATTTGGGAGTCCTAAGAAATACAAGTGCAAGTTAGTAATGGCTCAGGCCCCGACATCAAATCCTATACCCGCAAAGCCTCCACTCTAAACCATACACCCCTGAACCCTGGACCCCTAAATCCCAAAGCAAGACTTCAACCCAACTGTCCGGAGATTCGAGTTTCCGAAAATCGGGGCACCTTATGTCGGGGTCCTTATGATCAGGATCCTCCTAAACCCCTATAGATCCCTTTAAAGGAGAGACCCCTATTTAGGGTATGTTATTAGGGTCCCCTATTTCCGGAAACTCCCAGATCTTGAATGCGTTGACTCAGAACCGCCGTCCCGCCTCGGGACATCAGCGCCAGGGCGTGCAGAGGGCTCCAGCCCACCCCCTGCAGCAAAATTTCAAAAGGGGCCTTGAATAATCAGAACCATGCTTTGGGATGTTATTGCGCATACCATGGCGCGATGGTATAACTAGGATAAGGAACCTTCGATGGTATAACTAGAGTATTGAACCTTCAAGAACACTATCGGTAATCGTTCAGGCTCCCCAAACCCAAACCCCTAAACTCTGTTCAGGAAGAAAGCTATGCAAGAGCCCTCCCTGAGATCTCAAAAGCCAATCCTGAGCCTCTAGGGAAACAGTCCAGACAGGGCCCATGCTTTACAACTCTCCGGACCCTCTTTCAGTCTCCCTCAACCGCTAGACCCCTAAACGCTAAACCCGACATCCTACACCCTAACCGCTAAAACCCCAACCCTAACCACAAAACCCTAAAACCATCCCCCCCAAACCCTAAACATCAAACCCTAAACCTTCAACCCGAAACCCGAACTAGGCCGAGAAGTATCACGGAGAAAAAAGTATAGACTTTGATTTCATAATGGTTCCTTTAAGGAACAGGTATGGTACTCCAAACCCTAAGGAAAACCCTAAACCCTAAACCCCTAAATCCTCAAACCCCAAACCCTTCAACCCTAAATCCCCAACCCTAAACCCCTAAACCCTAAACCCTAAACCCTAAACCCCTAAACCCTAAACCCTAAACCCTAAACCCCTAAACCCTAAAGACCCTCAACCCCTAAACCCCAAGGCCCCCGCGAGCCCAGGGATCCGCCTGCCTGCAGATCGGGGTTTGGATCGCACCTCGCCCAGAGCCTTGGGATGGTCCCATGGGGTCACTTGGAGGGTCTCTGGGGGACTTAGTAAGTAGGTAGTATTACTACCTTGGTCTACTTAAAGTAGACTTATAAGTACTACCTTAAAAGGGACCCTAATTGGGGTTATGGTACTTATAAGTCCCTCCAAAAAAACAAGTTTCTAAGTCCCCCGATCCTCCAAGTGGGGACAGACAGACCTTCGGAGGATCCAAAAGCAGATCCCTGAATGAGGGTTGCTATAAAATACCTTTATAACACCATATAATGGGGCCCCCAAAAAAGCACATAAGCAACACGTAGGATAGTGATATCCCATAAAAAGACCTTATAATGAAGCCCAAAAAGGTAGGGATATCACCATAAAATGCTTATGCTTATGTGCTTTGTGGGTCCGAAATGAGGTCCTTTACTTGGAGGCTCATGGGAGTTATAGGGGAGTTCCTTTTAAAGGCCCCCTTTAAAGGGATCTATAGAAATTCTAGAAGGTATAGGGTTTAAGGCCCACTTGAAGGTTCATGCGCAGTTATAAGTAGGGTTATAAGTCCCCTCACATGGGTTATAAGTGTTACCCTACTTATAACCCTACTTACTTCTAACTGCCTCCCACTCGAAAGGTGAGGAATGCTTTTGGAGAAAAGCACTGGGGCGTGTTTGGGTTTCAAGGAGCCTACATAGATGCAACAATTACTGACTCACCGCAAGGGGACTGCCAATTTGAGAGACGCACAACTACACGGCGGTGCACTGCATACAGATCCCTACGGTTGTTGATATAAATCCTGCATTACCCTAAGGACCCTAAACTATGGGAATTATGGCATATTCCTTATACTGGGTAATGCAGGATTTCTATCATCAACCGTAAGTTGGCTTGGGGTCAAACAGCACCCGCCCAAGTACCCTTTCGCAGAGGCCTTATGGTCGTCCATAGTGTGTACTTAGGGGTGCTGGTAGGGGATGGGGTTTAGAAGTTTAGGGTTTAGGATACACTTCCTAATCCCTAAACCCTAAACCACTACCCTAAACCTCAAAAACCCTAAAACCCCAATCACAGCAAAAAAGAACTTCAGACCGGAAGGGCGCAGAAGCCTTCAGGAGCATAGCTGGAGTTAAGGAAGGTTTTGTAGGTTTCGTCTGGAGTTCAGGAAGGTTTCGTAGGCTTCGGATGAGTTTTGAAGGATGTCGGGGGTTAGGCTCTACATCAAGGAATTAGTCATCATACATGTTAAAGCAAATATGCTGTTTCAAACCTAAACCGTATGCAAACTCGACAGCGTTTGTCTCCCGCTGAAGAACTGAATCGAAGAGCCCCACAAGACTCAAAAACGCTCCCATCAGACGGTGCATTTAGGGTTTACTTGGAGGGTCGGGGCACTTAGTAAGTAGGTAATAAGTAGACTCATAAGTACCTTAAAAGGGACCCTCATCGGGGTTATGGTACGTATAAGTCCCTAAAACAACCAGTTACTAAGTCCCCCGACCCTCCAAGTAGGGTTGAGACATGTTTAGAAAATGAGCTCAAAGGGGGCAAAAAGGACAAACTTCTCACTGATCAGCTGCTACAAGGAGCTGAAGCAAGGCCACAAACCCCAACCCCAACCTAAACGATCCTACTGAGAGGTTCATGGGTGGTTATAAGTATGGTTATAATCAGGGTAACTGTACTTATAACCCATATTAATCCTACTTATATCTGCCCATGAACCTCCAAGTAAACCCTACATGATCCTACATCTTCTTTCCCTTCAGCTCACACCAATGATGTGCTGAAGCTATACGGTTTAGGTTTTAGTGTTTAGAGTTTAGGGCTCAGGAAACTCTAAACCCTCAACCCTCAGCCCTTTTTTATAGAACCCTTCTAGATCCCCTTTCATGTTTTAACCAAGGATTCCTTGAAGGATCCCTTTAAAGGTACCCTCTTTTTGGGTCCCTGCTTGGAGGGTCGGGGGACTTAGTAACTGGTTATTTTAGGGACTTACAAGTACCATAACCCCGATTAGGGTCCCTTTTAAGGTACTTATACGTCTACTTACTGCCTACTTACTAAGTCCCCAGACCCTCCAAGCAAGATGTGCCGAAGCGCATCGCGGTCAGCGTCTCCGCGGTCGCAAAGGAGGCGACGCCGGTGAGCGGGTGCAGACCCACACCAACGGCCTCGGAGGGCGTTGCCCGGTTTCGGGCTTCGGGATCACCTTAATTAGGGGTTTAGGATTTAAGGATGTTTAGGGGTTAAGGTTAAGGGTTTAGGGTTTAGGGTTTAGGGATTAGGTTTTAGGGATTACGGTAACAGTTGAAACCATGGGCCCCTGGTATGGGCCCTTGACCCTGGGATCCTTATATACCTACTATATACCTTATATAGACCGTCAAGAGTCCCTAGAACTCCCTCAAAATTGCCTAAGGGTCCATATTGGGGGTCCATACTTCTATGCTTGGACGGTTTCGGGTTTCGGGATCACCTTAGGGGTTTAGGGTTAAGGGCTTAGTGTTTAGGAATCACCTTCGGGTTTAGGGTTTAGGGCCTGTGCATAGGAGAGAATTCCAAAAAATGTAGGGATGACTATAAGGGGACGACTCTCAGAGATGACACAGGCACGGATGACCCCCTAAGCTTCAGTAGGTTCAGGGGGGGGGGTTTAGGGGTTTGGGGTAGTGTGCTGAAGGGCTTAGGGCTTAGGGTTTAGGGGTTTGGGGGTAGTGATTTAAAGGGCTTGGGATTTTGGGTTTAGGGGTTCGGGGTAAAGTCCCAAATGGAGTTTGGGCTTTAGGGGTTTTGGGTTTGAGGTGGTGCCTTAGAGGGCTCCTAGAGTCAACAAGTGCGTTAAGTTAAAGGGTTTAGGGTGTAGGGTTTAGGGGTTTAGCATTCCAGGTACTCACTGAAAGAGTCGGACATGGCCGCCGCATCAAATTGCAGGAAGTAGCCACAGGGTCCATATACACTACCACTATGGACTTACCTATAGTCTCCATTGTAGTTCCTTTTTGTGGTTTAACCAATTATAATATATATATATATATATATATATAGATATTAAGGATCCTATAATAAGGTAACCCCCAAAAGGAACTACAATGGGCTTGGGCAGCGCCGAACTTTCTAGGATGGATTATGCCATGGGCCGAAGAGGACCTTAGTCACGTTGGCGAGTCTTTGTTCGAGGGCTGCTTGAGGAATTAAGCTTTCTAGGATGCCCAGTAACCTAGGAATAAAAAGGGCGCCCTTTTTGGTATTGGGTAACTTTATAAGGAACCTAGGACTACAAAAAAGGAATAAGGGTACTACTGGGCATCCTAGTTTTCGGCGCACACCACTAAAGCTCTAAAGTTCTCAAGCGTTTCCTGAAAGCCGACATCCCGATAGAACGACCCAAAACCCAGCCTATAAAATCTTATGAAACCATCGAAAACCCTGTAAAACCCTACTTAGTTGCTGAGTTCAAAGCCCCCCCAAAGTATACAGTTTCAGTTCTATAGTGGGTAATATTATCACCCAAAGTGTAAAGTGTATCCACTCAGCGACTAAGCTCTATAACGCCTCTGCAATGGCCCTCTGCTACGGCTGCCAAGCGTCAGCCGCTGAGTGGAAGTCAGCTTTCGCCGCTAGCAGCACCTGGAGCAAAACTGGGTTCTTGTAAGGAAGTCAGTTTAAGCTACCATAACAAGGATCTACAAGGGCTCCGATAAGGGTTTAGGGCTTTTTGGGTTCAGGTTGAGGGTTGAAGGTTTAGGGTTAAGCGGTTTAGGGTTTGGGGTTACGGGTTGTTGTTAACCCTACGACTCCAAGTATACGAACAGTACCTGCTTTGGGTCTGAAGTCTATAAATAGTAAGAGTAAAACTACTTTCGGCTGTTTTGAGTCTTAGAGTAAGTACTTTTCTGCACTTTGAAGTAAGCAGGGAGACAAAGTATAGACTTTCATTTCAGAATGGTTCCTTAAAGGAACAGGTAGCGAAAAAAATGTTCAAGCATGGTACTCCAAACCCAGGTTTTGCAGGTTCTAGAAAGGGTTACCGCCTTCACAAGGGTTTCTAGTGTCGTACACTCTTACACGGAGAGACACACACACACACACTCAGGTCCTAAACCCTAAACCCCTAAACCCCCAAACCCTAAACCTTAAACCTTATAAACCCTAAACCCCAAGCCCCATGCAAACCCTGAACAAACACACACAGACACCCAGACGCCCACATCGCCCACCTCTACCTGCCCCGGGCTGCGTACCATGAAGGCTGCCTCGGCCCAGCTCGGAACGGTTGATGATACAAATCCTGCATTACCTCAAGGACCCTAAACTATGGGAACTATGGTATATTCCCTATAATGGGTCATGCAGGATTTCTATCATCAACCGAAGGACCTCTGCTATGCCTGGAACCCTGCCTACTACAGAGGCTCTCCATAATTCTAAGGGTGCCTTTTATCTCTCTTCTTCAAAAGCCTGGCCAAAAAGAGTACAAACTTTCCAAGATATACCACACATATAAGGCCAACAATTTTAAATTAATCTGAGTTATGAAATTCATTAGGTGTTTAGTTTGGGGTTGGATTCGGGCCTTTTGGCAGGATCATGGGATTGAAAAAGCAAGATTATAAGGACCTCAGTTGCGCTCAGACGCTATAAGATGTTGTACGTCGTGATAAGTATAACTGCCTTGTATTGATAACCCTAGCCACCCTTTGAGACAGGCTCCTTAAGTGCAGTTATATAGTTGCAAGCCCTCAGCGCTAAACTTGACTAGATTGGACTCTAAGAGAAGTCACCAAAAACAGGGCCTAAACTCTAAGACCCTTGAACCCCTAAACGGGTTCAGCGTTTAGGGTTGAGCCCCCAACCCCAGTGCCCCTGCCCGGAAGGCCTGACACCTGCGCCGAAGAAGATCACTCTTAGTATGTATGTGTGTGTATATATATGTATATATATATATATATATATATATATATATATATATATAGCTCTCTCTCTCTATCCATATGTATATATATATATATATATATATGTGTGTGTATGTGTGTATATATATATATATGTGTGTATGTGTGTGCATATAAATATAAATATAGATATAAATATATAAATATATATATATATATATATATATATATATATATATATCTAAACTGCATGGTGCACGCAGCGCCAGATCATCGTCCTGGCGTGGACTATTGCCCCAAACCGAGGATCCTCAATGAATAACGACAGCACTCGCTTTCCATCCAATAGAAGTATCGAATTACAGGGGGCTTCTGGCCAGTGATACCAGGCATGTAGGCTATAGCACCGTGCAGATGGGGATCTAGGATCTGGGTAAACCCCGAAACGAAGTAAATAATGCTTATGCCCTTAAAAAACCAACCCTACAAATAACATGACGAGACCCTAAACCTTAAGCTCTCACCCCCTCTTAGCTGATATGCAACCGAAAGGTTAGAGACGACAGCCTCAACAAAAAGGCTGTACGGAGGCTTACAAGTATCTTCACTAGACTAGATAGAAGACCACAATGAGCTGACTGATACAGTAATTTGTAACCCTCGACTTCTCTTTGCCCTGTAATTCTCCTGGAGCCAAATTGAATCTCAGCGGCGTTGATGCCAGAGCGGGCTACCTTGGCCGGTTCTTGTACTTCGGATAAATCCACAACTCTAGTCTAGGGAGAATCACACACCGAGGATCCTGAAATCGTATGTAAGTCATTGGAGCTGCTGCATTCTAGGTCGGGCTAGTTGCATTCCCTTGACCGGATGAGGTCACAGGGTGCGTACCATCCAACATCCCTCCTGCAGTGACATTCCCATCGAAACCCTGAACCCTGAACCCTACACAGCAAACCATGGAAGGGTTGAAGCTTCCACCAACTCCCTAAAACCAAACCCTGAACGGCAGATGTTAGCTTCCAGCTCATTGCTAACTTTTCAAATCTGGCAACAGAGTCTGGTACAACATCCGCCTCGCCTGACACGGAAGCCTGAATAGTTAGACTAAGGGTTTGAGGCTGTTCATAGAGTTAATGGTCTTGTAACCCTTAGGCCCTTAAGCCCTCAAGCCCTCAAACATTGGGGACCCGGAAGCAAAAAGGTTAGCAATATTAAGGAAACCCAAGGAATCGAATTTGTTTTGCTGCAGGCTGCTATACGGGGGTTTCCCCAAATAGGGGACCCTAATATAATACCCTAAATAACAGGATCCTCATTATATGGGCCCCAAAATAAGGTACCCCTAATTTTCGGAAACCCTAAACCCTTATAGAGCCCTTCAAAGAAACCCTTATAGAACCCTTTAAGGAACCCTTAAAGGATCCCATCCCCATACGGATGGGATATTTGTTGGACTTGCTGCTCAGGTTGGGGGTTCCCAGGTTTTGGGTTTCGGGTGACCTAAACCCAGAAGCCTAAACCCCAAAGCGCAGAGGCTAATGTTGTCAAAATTAGTGTCCCTTTTTGGGTACCTTAAATAATAGGTGCCGTATTATATTAAGGAACCAAATAAGGATCCTAATTTTGACAACCACCCAACTAACAACACTAATAATAGCAAAGCTTCAGTCCTCAAGCCTGGATTATCTCTTGGGCCGTCAAGATACCCGGTCATTGACATTGGCACGGAGCTCCAGCATGGCTCGCAGAACGTCCTTTTCTGTGGCTTCGGGCTGTTCAGAGCGGATCAAAGCTTCCTCTACTACGGCTTTCTTACACCCGTTTGAAGCTTGTTTGGCTGTTCGGCCGGAAGCCACAAGACTACCCCTAAACCCTAAACCCTCAACCCCAAATCCTAAACCCTAAACCCTAAAAGACTAAACCCCAAACCGTGCACCCTAAACCCCTCTCAGGCGGCCGAAAGCTGTTAAGGCCTTTACAGTCGAGCTCCGGTGAACCCTAAACTTTGCCGTAAACGGGTCGAGGGACTTAGTAACTGCTTATTTTAGGGACTTATAAGTACCATAACCCTAATTCGGGTCCCTTTTAGGGTACTTAGAAGTCTACTTACTACCTACTAAGCCCCTCGACCCTCCAAGTAAATCCTGAACCTCCGGCTCGTGTGCGACGAAGGAGCCGGACGGTGGTTCATTCGTGCCGCGATCATCAGCGGTGTCAATGTGTTCCTCCAGGGGCACCGCAGCTTAGTAGACACATGAAGACCCTATACCCTAAACTAGAACTCCACTCAAGAGGGTCAGGAAAAAACGAAAGATCAAAACACTACTAATGAAAGGAACCATCACCTAAAACACTAAGAAACAAACAAAGAAGCACCCAAGAGCCATCTAGAGAAGGTCACCTACTCCGCTGCTAAAATCCTGTGCCCAAATGCCTTCGAGCCCGGCGGGCATAGATCGTTGGCCCCTCAACCCCAAACGAAACCCCGAGCCCTGATTCTCTAAACCCGAAACCCGAAGACCCCAAACACAAGCACACCAAACCCTAAGCTCAACTCCTCTATACAGAATTAGAAAGTAAGCAAACTGCTAGCTTTCCCGAGACAAGCAGTTCAAGAAGAAAAAACTCAGAACGCCTACAACCAAAGGAGATGTGCAAGAAGACTAGAACAAGTCAAACCACAAACCCGACGTCCGAAAAGATTCTGCAAATACACACAACCATCTGAAATCCTTGAAAAACCGTTTAGACCCTATGGCAGCATATGAATCCAAAGTGCAGAATGCCTCTCACGTCTCTATGAAGCCCGATAAGACCTCACTCAACTCTACAAACCCGACCAAGACCTATGAAACACATACCCTAAACCTGAAACCCTGAACCCCTGAACCCCTAAACCCCCAAAACCTATGAAACACATACCCTAAATCCTAAACCCTCCCCAAGCACCCCGTGCCGGTCCAGAAACCCAGGCGCTCTAAGCCGTGCAGCTTGCAGTTCACGTCGCCTTCCTCCCACAGCTTCCAATATCTCTTAGGGAATATGGGGGGGGGGGGAGGTTCGAACATGCGAAACCCTAATATAGTAAATCCTTATTGGTTTAGGGTTTAGGGTTACTTGTCGGTTCATGGGTAGTTATAAGTGGGCTGAAAGTACTGAGGGTAACTATAGAAATTACCCATATTAGAGAACTTATAACACCGTTTATAACTGCCCAGGAACCTCCAACTAGGGAAATGCCTGAAACCTACTTGTCCTGCAGCCTGGGTAACTAGAGGCGAACCTTTTTTGTGGTCAAAGGAAGCTACTCTAACCAACTAAAAGCCCCTAAACCCTGTATCTCTGGGGTTTAGGGTTTAACCCTAAAACCTAAATCCTCAAATCCCCTTTGAACCCAAAACCTAAAACCTCAATAGTCCTAAAACCGACCCTAAACCCCCTTAAACCCTAAACACTCAAAAACCCCCTGAACCCAACCCCCAACCTCCCCTAATCCTAAAACCCCTGAAAAAACCCAAAGCCCCTCCTAAAACCCCTCCTAAAACCCCTGAACCCAAAACCTCAATCCTAAAAAAAACCCCTAAACCCCTAAACCTAAAAAAACCCCTGAACCCAAAACCTCAATCCTAAAACCCCTAAACCCAAACCTCAATTCTAAAACCCTGAACCCAAACCTCAATCCTAAAACCCCTAAACCCAAACCTAAATCCTAAAACCCCTGAACCCAAAACCTCAATCCTAAAACCCCTGAACCCAAAACCTCAATCCTAAAACCCCTGAACCCAAAACCTCAATCCTAAAACCCCTAAACCCAAAAAATCCTAAAACCCCTGAACCCAAAACCTCAATCCTAAAACCCCTGAACCCAAAACCTGAACCTGAACCCAAAACCTCAATCCTAAAACCCCTGAACCCAAAACCTCCTCCTAAAACCCCTGAACCCAAAACCTAAATCAAACCCCTGAACCCAAAACCTCAAAAAACCCTAAACCCAAAACCTAAATCCTAAAACCCCTGAACCCAAAAAATCCTCAATCCTAAAACCCCTAAACCCAAACCTAAATCCTAAAACCCCTGAACCCAAAACCTCAATCCTAAAACCCCTAAACCCAAACCTCAATCCTAAAACCCCTGAACCCAAAACCTCAATCCTAAACCCCTGAACCCAAAAAAAAACCCCTAAACCTAAATCCTAAAACCCCTGAACCCAAAACCTCAATCCTAAAACCCCTGAACCCCAAACCTCAATCCTAAAACCCCTGAACCCAAAACCTCAATCCTAAAACCCCTGAACCCAAAACCTCAATTCTAAAACCCCTGAACCCAAAACCTCAATCCTAAAACCCCTGAACCCAAAACCTCCTAAAACCCCTCCTAAAAAAACCCCTGAACCCAAAACCTCAATCCTAAAACCCCTGAACCCAAACCTCAATTCTAAAACCCCTGAACCCAAAACCTCAATCCTAAAACCCCTAAACCCAAACCTAAATCCTAAAACCCCTGAACCCAAAACCTCAATCCTAAAACCCCTGAACCCCAAACCTCAATTCTAAAACCCCTGAACCCAAAACCTCAATCCTAAAACCCCTAAACCCAAACCTAAATCCTAAAACCCCTGAACCCAAAACCTCAATCCTAAAACCCCTGAACCCCAAACCTCAATTCTAAAACCCCTGAACCCAAAACCTCAATCCTAAAACCCCTAAACCCAAACCTAAATCCTAAAACCCCTGAACCCAAAACCTCAATCCTAAAACCCCTGAACCCCAAACCTCAATTCTAAAACCCCTGAACCCAAAACCTCAATCCTAAAACCCCTAAACCCAAACCTAAACCCTAAAACCCCTGAACCCAAAACCTCAATCCTAAAACCCCTGAACCCCAAACCTCAATTCTAAAACCCCTGAACCCAAAACCTCAATCCTAAAACCCCTAAACCCAAACCTAAATCCTAAAACCCCCGAACCCAAAACCTCAATCCTAAAACCCCTGAACCCCAAACCTCAATTCTAAAACCCCTGAACCCAAAACCTCAATCCTAAAACCCCTAAACCCAAACCTAAATCCTGAAACCCCTGAACCCATAACCTCAATCCTGAAATCCCTAAACCCAAAACCTAAATCCTAAAACCCCTGAACCCCAAACCTCAATCCTAAAACCCCTGAACCCAAAACCTCAATTCTAAAACCCCTGAACCCAAAACCTAAATCCTAAAACCCCTGAACCCAAAACCTAAATCCTAAAACCCCTGAACCCCAAACCTCAATTCTAAAACCCCTGAACCCAAAACCTCAATCCTAAAACCCCTAAACCCAAACCTAAATCCTAAAACCCCTGAACCCATAACCTCAATCCTAAAATCCCTAAACCCAAAACCTAAATCCTAAAACCCCTGAACCCCAAACCTCAATCCTAAAACCCCTGAACCCAAAACCTCAATTCTAAAACCCCTGAACCCAAAACCTAAATCCTAAAACCCCTGAACCCAAAACCTAAATCCTAAAACCCCTGAACCCAAAACCTCAATTCTAAAACCCCTGAACCCAAAACCTCAATCCTAAAACCCCTGAACCCCAAACCCCTAAGGCCCCTAAACCCAAAACCTAAATCCCGAAACCCCTAAACCTAAAACGCACTCTAAACCTTAAGCCCAAGACACCATCGGTCTCACCTACAGCCTCTTAAACCTTCAACCCTACATCCTACAGACCCAAAACTTAATTACCGGAAACCCAAGAACTAGTTCTTTGTTGGGATAGGATTGAAAATGCACATTTTCCTTATTGGGTTCAAGTAATCATAAAAATGTAAACTAGGTTGGCCTCTGAAAAATATTCGTAAATAGGGTCCTACTAAGCCCAAGAAGGGCAAATATAAAATGTCCCAAAGGCCTACCTGGTAAAATGTCACCCAACTAGGATAAAGAGAAACAATCGGTCTCCTGCTCAACGAGACAGCGCAACATGCGGCCGTCTCCAGCGAAAGCGGCGCACATCACGCCGTTCATGCCAACCCTGGGCCCACGCTCTAACGGTTTTCATAGGGATCCTTAGGGGTGTAGGGGGGAGGGGTGTAGGGGACTATATTTCCTTAAATAGGCCTTATTAGTCCTTATTATGGGCCTTAAGGCCCCCTACCCCTCCCTCCCCCTAATTACACCCCTAAGGATCCCTATGAGGTTTGGGGCTCCTTCAAAGGGATCTATAAGTGATCCTTTCAGGGTTCCTCTGTAAGGGATCTATAGGGTTTAGGGTTTGGGGTGTGTTAGAGTTTACTTGGAGGGTCGGGGGACTTAGTAACCGGTTATTTTAGGGACTTAAAAGTACCATAACCCCAATTAGAGTCCTTTTTAGGGTACTTAGAAGTCTACTTATAACTACCTACTTACTAAGTCCCCCGACCCTACAAGTAAAGGTTTGGAGTTTAGGGTTTAGGATTTAGGATTTAAGGTTTAGCATTTGGAATTTGGGGTTTAGTCGACTGGTATTGCTACAGCTATTTCTGAACCCACTCTCTTTAAGGATCTAAATAGTGGGATCCGTGGTGTAAGTAGATAATGCCTTTTAAGTAAGGGTGTTCATGAACTTGGAGCTTATGTTTATCTTGAGGCTTATGGACTTTTAGTGCTTGAAGCCTGTTGTTTCTGGTAAGGCATGAGATTTTGTTGATGGGTTTAGTTCTGACAAAAACTAGGATTTTGCTGCGTGATCAGTAAGCAGGACTTGCTTGCTAAGAGAGCAAGTTTTCCGTTCGGGTTCATGGGTTCAGGGCTTAATTCAGGCTCACAGTCTCGAGTTTAGATGGTGTTGTGTTGTCGGGCATGTCCCTAAACACTAAATCCTAAACTGGCAGGGCTTAACGGCTCAGAGCTCTGGAAGCTGTGACCCTGAATCTCCGTACCACGAAGGCCCAAAAAAACACCGACGTCATCACAACTCCCAAAAACTGTCCTCCAAACTCAACCCCTGGGTTTGCCCCTAAACCCTAAACCCTTAGGGTTTGGGGTGTAGCATTTCAGTTAACCCTGCATCTCCAAGAGCCCAAACAAGGGTTGGGGTTTTAGGGTGTCGGATCTTTAGCCCTCAGGGTCCTCAGGGTTTAAGTTTACTATTATATGGGAGTTTCCAAGCATTAGGGGTACCTGATTTTGGTGCCCTTACAATAAGCATCCTACTATTTAGGGTACTACATTAGGGTTCCCTACTTTCGGAAACTTCCATATACTTATAACCCCAAGTAAGGTACTTGTAACTTGACTTTCTCAGCCCTGACCTTTTAAGTAAGCTAAGCAAAAAAGCCGTTCTGTAGGCTTCTGATTCTACGACCGTATCTTACTCGGGCTTTGCAACAAGGCTCCAGTCCCATGACCCTCCAAGCTTGCTTGCAGGGCCGGGGGACTTAGTAAGTAGATAAGATAGTAAGTAGACTTCTAAGTCCCTTAAAAGGGACTCTAGTTGGGGATAGGATACGTATAAGCCTATAAAACAACTAATTACGCAGTCCTAAACCCCTAAACCCCAAACCCTTAACCCCAAACCGCTAAAAGCCCCTAAACCCTAGACCCCTAAACCCTAAACAAAATCATTAATTACTAAGTCCCCCAACCCTCCAAGCTTGGCCCAGCCCGGCGGGGCCTATCTTGCGCGGCGACCGCGAGGCTGGAGAACCTCGGATTTAGTTGGAGGTTCATGGGTAGTGTTAAGGGTTCCTTTAAGGGCCTCTTTAAAGGGATTTATAGGGATTCTATAAGGGTATAGGGTTTAGGGTTTAGGGGTTGTAGGTTCATGGACATTCGTAAGTGGGGGTTGTAAGTAAGGTTTCTGTAAGGATCGTGGCATGCGTTTGAAGCAGCTTCGCCTGCCACTCTTGCCCGGCTTGCTTGTGGCTCTAAACACTGCCGGCTCTCGGTCACTGACTGTGCCTCGGCCGCCCTCGGCCGCCACCATCACCTGGGCCCTTGGAAGCTGCCAGTCAGACTTTCTCTTGGCCCGTAACTTAAACATTAAAAATGTGAATGCGCCTGGAGTGTCGTCCGAGCTGCCATGATCCCAGTCGCCATCATCCGAGCTGACAACATCCCAGTTTGGCGTTCCCATCTCGGCAAACCCGAAACCCTAACTTAAACCCCCAAAATCCTAAGCCCCTAAACCCCTGAGTCGAAACCCGAAACCCTAACTTAAACCCCAAAACCCCTATAAACCCCTATAAACCCCTCAAGCCCCTAAAACCCCAAAACCCCTAAGCCCCACCTTTTTGTTTGCGGCCCTGGGCCCTGCAGGGTTCATTTTAACTCCTCCCTGGCCTCCTTTTAGATGAGCCCGCTTCTGAGGATTCCTGTGCCTGAGGGTCCATGTTCTCATATTGTTTAGGATTTACAGGGTTTAGGGTTTAGGGTTAGGGTTTAGGGTTTAGGGATGCCCAGTAACCTAGGAATAAAAAGGGCTCCCGTTTAGGTAACTTCAGAAGGAACCTAGGACTACAAAAAGGGAATAAGGGTACGACTGGGCATCCTAGTCTCATATATTATCTGGTGCTTAGTAGGGAATAAAGGAATGGATTATAGAGACTATTATTGGGGATTGTGCAGGGACTACTATCGGGATCCATTCCCCATTCCCTACTCAGAAACAGACACTACTACATACATCGGCCCCAATGGAGTCTCTATATAGGTACCTTAGGGTCAAACCAACCCGGGCTTCAAAGCTGGCCTTTGCAACCTGGGCATGCCAACCCTGGAAGCCAGAGGTGCAATTGTTTGCTCGATCGCACGGCTCTCCCCATCAGTCTTTGCACTTGCACCGGTGCTGTGGACGGAAAACCATGTCGTACTGCTGTACATCTTTCAGGCTGAGCCATTCCAGAAGATGGACTCGGCTACAGTGCAAGCACATCTTGCTGTCGACGATGAGAGCGACTGCATGGGCGACTCTTTCTTTCCGTTCCCCGATGTGATCTGGCATACTCATATGGAAAACATGGACCCGTAAGGTATACTGTGATTATGTGTATATATATATATATATATATCCTTTGAGCGTGCTTGACTGCGATCCCAGAGACTTTCGGGGTGTCATGTACAGGTTCTTTTGAAGGTTCCGTGGCGGGCTTGTGGGGCTCTGGAAGGGTTTGATAGGTTTTGGGGCGATCCGTTCTGCCTGCAGCGTTTTTCAGGGTTTCGGAAATTTGTGGATTCAGTGCTGTAGGCCTTGAGAACCTTAATTAAGTTGCCGGACGACAAGAGCTGAGGCTGCTAGGGTATTGCGGATTCTAAGGTTTGCTGCTTAAGACGCATAGGCCCAGAAGGCACAGATCCTTGAAGGGCATACTCACAGGGTTTAGGGTTCAGGGGTTCGGGGGTTGATCCCCTGAACCTGCTGGCCAGGGCGCTGGAAGTGCTCCAGGAACTGCTCCTGCTTCAAGGGTCATGTGACTCGGTGTATAGGGTCTTTAGTATTCCTTGAAGGGTTCCTTACTGTAGTGGCTTAGGGTCTACATGTTCCTGGGACATTCCTGCAGAAATCCATAGTGGCACGGTTAAGGAAACCTACCTGGAGAGTCCGAACCATCCTCTTATAGACCCCTTTTTAGGAACCCCTTAAGGAACCCTAGTAACTACTTGGAGGGTCGGGGGGCTTAGCAACTGGTTGTTTTAAGGACTTATAAGTACCATAACCCCCATTAGGGTCCCTTTTAGGGTACTTATACGTCCACTTACTACCTACTTACTAAGTCCCCCGACCCTCCAAGTACCCTAAACCCTAAATCCTAAACCCTAAATCCACCAAGATAGTATTGGCAATTATTTAGGCCCCTATATTACAGTCCTACAAAACTGGGAACCTACACATCGCGTCCTGAGTCCAGCAGGGGTCTGAACGTCCCAGCACTTTCTGCTCTGTGGCCGAAAAGAACCTCGGAGTTGGGTTTAGGGGTGAGGGTTTAGGGGTTTAGGGTTTAGGGGTTTAGGGGTTTAGGGTTTAGGATTTAGGGTTTAGGGTTTAGGGTTTAGGGGTTTAGGGGTTTAGGGCTTTAGGGGTTTAGGGTTTAGGGTGTAGGGTTTAGGCGTCCCGCCCTCTGTCACCTTAACATTCTATAAGAGGGCTCTTATTCAGGGCCTCGGAGGGTTTAGTTACTGGCCCCCACCCTGTAACAGACTATATTAGGGGTAGGGTTTCGGGCTTAGGGCTATATAAATGCACTAGAAAGATTATCCAACTGTTACAGGGTGGGGGCAGTACCCGACCTCCGGTCCGTCATTCTTAGGGCAGAGTGCTTCCGGGGATTGGGGTTGCTAGAGTTTTAGGGTTTCCGGTGCTCTAAGCTTTCGAGTTCAGGCTTTTGCAGCTTCAAAGATTCATGGTGTGGGGTTTCGGTTTCCGGTTCAGGGCCTTGCTTGGACCTTGATGAGAGCTTAGGGTTTAGGGCTTAGGGGTTCAGGGGTTAGGGCCTGGGGGATTGGGGTTTAGGGCTTGGGGGTTTAGGGTTTAGGGCGTAGGGGTTCAGGGTTTAGGGTAATTAGGGCTCTATCAAGGGTTCCTTTACGGATTTTACATGGGGTTGAGAAAGTCTTCCGAGCGGTTTATAGGGGCTTGGAGGGGTTACCATACGGGGCCTTGATAATCAGTACAGCGTGGTTTCTTCCAAGGGAAAATAGCAAGGACCAAAAAATATGTACTTTCCTCCTCATTATTTCGACCCGAGCCCCAGATAATGACGTGCATCCGTAACTGAGCCCCGCTACTTTAATCACCGAGCTAGGATAGCCCGAACAAAAGCAGCAGGTTTAGGGTTTAGAATATCGGGCTCAGGGCTTAGGATTTAGGATTTAGGGTGGCCGGGTTTAAGGTTTAGGTGAGAGGACTACTTGAAGGCTGTGCCTGAAGTGTGTATACTTGCTGCCCGCGCTATATTCAGGTGCCTGTCAACCTACCCACGAACCAAAGCACAGCCCCACAGAACCGTGTTGCAAAACATGTAGCCCACGCCAGAAATAATACTCATACCACAGTCTACACCACACTTCTTGGAGGTTCATGTGTAGTTATAAGAAGGGTTATAAGTCCCCTAATATGTGTTATAACTATAGTTGCCCTACTTATAACCCCGCTTATAACTACCCATGAACCTCCAAGTTGGGTGTTTGCAACTCCTCAATTCAAACGAGGCTTTATTGTTAGCATCCTACGTGAAGGTTCATGGGTAGTTAGATTTGGGTTATAAGTAAGGTAACTGTAATTACACCCCCCATAATATTTATTAGGAGACTTACAACCCCACGTATACCTACCCATGAACCTCCAAGTATACACAATCAACAACAACCCCAATCTGGTACAAACCCTGCTTCAAGTAGTGGAACTGTACCCCAAAACCAATCGTCGCTCCCGTACGTATTCAACCCCAGTGGCCGGTAGTAATCCAACGGACCCGAACCGCGCACATGCTTCAACCTCGGGAAAGCCGAAGCGGTGTGGCATGTAGGGTTTAGGGCTCCGAGTCGCCGCTTCCTTATGAGATGGCCTGTAGGCATCGTCGCTGCAATTCAAGGTGAGGTTCAAGCCTGCACTTGGAGGGTCGGGGGACTTGGTAACTGGTTATTTTAAGGACTTATAAGTACCATAACCCCAATTAAGGTCCCTTTTCGGGCACTTATAAGTCTACTTACTACCTACTTGCTGAGTCCCCATCTCCTACAGCGCCAAACCCGAAACGCCACTGCTCAAAACCCACAAGCCTGAACCCTAGACCCTGAATACCCTAAAACTGAACCCTAAACCATCAACCGCGCATCTTCATCCAAGCGATGAAATTTAAGGTTGAAAAGTTGGAAGCTGTATCGTTGCTAGGACCAGGGCTTCTGGTCAATCAAACTCTGACAGTTGCTACTACCGCACAAAGGACCACAACAACGACTCTTGAATTGCTGGTACTCCTACTCATGCTCCTTCTCTTGTATACTCCTCCTGCTCTTAACACTGCTCCTCCTCCTCCTGCTGCCGCTGCCGCTGCTGCTGCTGCTGTTGTTGCTATGCTTGTCACCGAGATAATGGTTTTTGCAATGCAAGCCAGAAGAGTAATGGCACAGCAAGTAGCTCTGCCGGCAGCAGCCGTATCGAGAGGAGCAGCAATCACATGCATGAAAGACAGAGGAGAACCACAACAGAAACTACAACCCACATCCTAGGAGGAGTCCCCTAAACCCTATACTCCAAGCCGTCAGACAGCACTGGATCGTTCGGTGCAGGGCCCAAGCAGGATGTGCCCGAGGTTCGGAGCTGAGGGTTTAAGATTTTCGGGTTTTGGAAGCCGGAGATTTTGGGGTTCCGGGATTTTTGACTACAAAACCTTGGAAGGACTGTGCTTAAGCAGCTCAGGGTTTAAGGTTGAGGGTTTATCGGATCTAAGCTTTAGGGTGTAGGAATTGAGCTTCCGGGTTAAGAGTTTAGAGTTTAGGAATCATGGTTTAGGGTGAGACCCATATGGGGACGTGGTCTTTTTCGGCGGGATGCTTGCTCTCCACGGCAACTTCTCCCAGCCGGACCACAACTGACCGATCAGCCTCCTGCAGATTCGGTGTTACTTCAAGGTTCATGGGACTTAGCACGTAACAATATAAATAAGGTAGCTATAAAAAGATCTTTTTATTGATATATACACCAATATAGGTAAATATAAATATATATATATATATACACACACACATATTAGCTACAAGTGTTTCTAAGCTCAACTAAGGTACTTGTAACCTTACTTACGAAGTCTCACGACCCAACAAGTAGCAGATTCGGTGTTCGTGTCTGGCTACATAGGGTTTGGGCTTGGGGTTTGGAGGTTTCATACTATGGTGCTTCACAGGCTGTCACAGGGTGGTGTTCGAGAAGAGTGTTTGCAGGATTTAGGGTTTTGGACTTGGCCTGACAGGACTGCTAAATTCCAACGTCTCTAACCTGCGACTAGCCCGGCGGCCCGACACTGTGTACCCACGACTCGGACTCGTGAATTCAGCGTCCATGCATCCGGAATGCGAAACCCCTTGCTCTTGAAACTTGCATTGGCCTCATAGTTGGGGTGACAATCAGGCCGATCGAATACTTCGGGCTACAAGCAACTACAACTATAGACCATAGCTGAACTGCCTATGAACCTTCAACTTCCCAAGTCCCTACCTGTGACCCCGGACCCTACAGAATAGTAGATTATGGCTCCATGCCCACAGGGTCCAGCCGTTCAGGTAAAGCCCCGATCCCTAGCCCCTACTTGGAGGTTCATGGGTAATTACGCGTGGAATTAGAAATAGGGCAACCGGGACTTCTAACCCCACATATAACTGCCCATGAACCTGCAAGTAACCCTGCACCCTAAGCCCTTGCATGCGAACACCCAACGATTGTAAACCCTCGTACTGGGCTTTGAAGTAAGCAGGGGGAAAAAAGTATAGACGTTATTTCATAATGGTTCCTTTAAGGAACAGGTACCAAAAAAAGTATTCAAGTATGGTACTCCAAACCCAGGTATACCTAAAACAAACACCAAAACAGGCAAAACCACACCCTAAACCCCCACAAACTCAAACCTTAAGAAGGGCCACTCCCAGGATCCTGCTGAATTCAAGGAACCCTGTATTAATAGAAAACCTCACCAGTAATCCTATTTGCCGAGCTCCGGACCACAGTGAAGGTCCCGTCAGAAATGTTGTTTTGCTGCCAGTCCAAGTAGAACATAAATTCAGCCTGCGCTTTTTGGGGCGCATCTTTACAAGATGCAAGCACGAACTTCCTGTTTGTGTGTCTATATATATATATATATATATACATACGCACACATGTGGGCCAGCATGTTTTGTGTTTCTTGCTTTGATAATGTAGGTTGTGTCCCGTTTGCAGTGGGGTGCGGGGTCCTGGGGAGGTTACTGTTGATGATACAGATCCTGCACTACCTTAAGGACCCTAAAACTATGGGAATTATGGTATATTCCCTGTTAAGGGTACCGCGGAATGTGTATCATCGACCGTTACTGGCGTTGGAGGTCGGCTTTGCATGGGCTCCACCATAATTTCCCAGGTATGGAATTAGGCCGTAAAGCCATAATAAGAAAGGTCCTTTGGGACCCTTTCTATGGAGCCTCTCCCCGCCAAGTACCCTTTAATAGAGCCCGAATGGTCCTTTTGACAGTGGGCACTTAGGACTTAAGGTGTATTTGAGGGTAGTTGGGGGGTCTACGTGAACCCTACAGCTTCAGGAGCTTGGGCTGCTTTGTCTTGATGTTTGGAGCTTTCAAGAGGGCGAGCTCATGATTCATTGATTGTGCTTTCCAGGGTTTAGGGTCTAGGGTTTAAGGTTTAGGGTCATGTTTGGGATTATCGGGTTCGGGGCTTAGGGTGTCGGATTTAGGGGCCTACTTGAAGCATCGCGAGACTTCGTAATAAGGTTACAAGTAAGGTAGCCATAGTTATACATACTCATACACCCCACATTTACGTACTTCCCGCATCCCATGATCCTTCAAGTACCTTCTAGATTCCTTGAGGGGCTGGGAGGTTGGGACCCTTAGCAGCGGAAATTCCGTTGAGAATAGGTTTTAGGGTTCGGGGCTTTGGGCCGGCTTGGGGCTGAGGTTTTAGGGTTTAGTTCAGGGGACAACGCACGAGTCGCGGAACCTGCAAAGCCGAAAGTTGTTCACTAAGCCACAAACCGTAAATTCGACGCCCTTAGAAGTTGTTTTGAGGGGCTGCATCGCTTGGACCAAAGCCCGAGCCAAAAATGCCGTCCCGTTACATGGAATAGGCCTGCTATGAAGATATATTATTCTATACTCCCATCGCCATAATAATGCACGATACCTACACGCATGAAACCTACTGGGGAGCCCTACAGACACTCACCGAAACCCTAGTGTAAACCCTGCTTCACGGACTTTTGACAACTTCCTCCCTTCAAGCGCATGCCTCGCATATCTGACCCGATTAATGTGCACATCCCGGAACTCCCACCCGTCCTCCGCAGATGAGTAGACCACAATGACACCTCTACCCAGCAAGCAGTACCCTTTCATGATGACGGTTCGTGGTTGACTCATGGGGTCTCAAGAGCGTTGTAAGGAGTACAAGTATACGCGTGCACAACAAGCACTTTTTCTCCATATTTAAGGCTTGATCGTGTCTTGGGAAGTAAGGCTAAAGCACTTTAGCCTCAGCCGATGCTCTGTACCTCAAGTCTTGTCGCGGGGGTTCGTCAGGTGCTTTCGGGGTTTGAAGGTTGGGTCAACCTGTTGGGATGGGAATTTACTTGGAGGGGCAGAGGACTTAGTAAGTAGGTTATAAGTAGGCTATTTCGGGTACTTATAACTCTACTTATAACCTACTTACTAAGTCCCCTGCCCCTCCAAGTAGGCTGGGGTTCGGAATTTCCAATGTAGGGGCCTTGATAACTAGAATAGGGTTTCGGGGTGTTCTATACTATGACTGTATTACGGAACCCCCAAAACAGTAGTGGTAATTATGTAGGACCCTACATTATGTCGTCTACCCAGGGCGCGAAACACTCATCGACACCTCTGCAACTTCGAATCTGTCGAGCGCTATCCGCTATCCGTGACCCGAACCCTGAGGGCCCATGTTCTCCCATAGCATATACATAGGCCCCATTGCCAATGCAGCGTGCATGCAAAGAGGGGCAAAAACTGACATGCGCCGATACGCCGTTACGCCGATCGCCCGCCCTTGCCCTATAGGCCTCCCCCCCCCCGCCCGCCGATACGCCGATACGCCGTTCCCCGCCCCAAACACCGATACGCCGTTCCAGGCCCCTCTAGCACGTTACTACGCCGATGCGCCGTTCCCCGCGCCCCCGGCCCCCCCCCCTCCCCCCGCACGCTCATACGCCGACGCCGATACGCCGATACACCTGACACGCCGATACGGCGTTCCCCGCCCCCCCATAGCACGCTAATACGCCGATACGCCGTTCCGCGCCCCCATAGCATGCTAATACGCCGATACGCCGATACGCCGTTCCGCGCCCCCATGCACGCTAATACGCCGATACGCCGTTCCGCGCCCCCATAGCACGCTAATACGCCGATACGCCGATACGCCGTTCCGCACCCCCATAGCATGCTAATACGCCGATACGCCGTTCCGCGCCCCCCTTCCACGCTAATACGCCGATACGCCGATACGCCGTTCCGCGCCCCCATAGCACGCTAATATGCCGATACGCCGATACGCCGTTCCGCGCCCCCATAGCACGCTAATACGCCGATACGCCGATACGCCGTTCCCCGACACGATCATGCGCCGATACGCCGCTGCGGCCAAGCCCGCCGGCCTGGAAGAAACCCACAGCCCGAAAAATGACAAATAGATGATACGCCGACCGCGGCAGCAGACTTCGAAGATTGGGAGCATTTGGCACACATGACTGAAACACGCCGTTTTCGCAGCGTGCCTCCAGCGCCGTACAGCGGTCAGTTCTTGAAAACATTGAAACATTGGGACATTTTATGGCTAGGATTCGGGGTTCAGGGTTCAAGGCTCCAAACTGTTACTACTATTGCCATGACTAGTCAGTACTACGATTTCTACTGTTACTACCGTTGAACAAATACTACTATTACTCACCGGGCTTTGCCTAGGATACGGTATAAAGACATCTCCGTAGCCCACAGCAGCTGACCCTCGCTGTCCGAGAGGGTACCCCAAGAGTCGAAGCACTCTTGATCTATTATAAGACTTATACGGTCTATAGGGTTTATACAGGTTTGAGGTTTTGGGGGTCCTTTCTGCAGACGAAACACCAGAAAAGCTGATCACTTGGATCCAGAGGGCCAGTGTTACCAGAGAACCCAGTATATACCTTTCAATGAAGGAATATACTTTTCAGTATACGGGCGCCCCTGATTTTAAAATCAGAACTTTTCCTCTCACCAGTGAACTCCGAGGATGGAGCCTTGGACTGATGGGGCGCCCGTGATTTTAAAATCAGAACTTCCTATCACCAGTGAACTCCGAGGATGGAGCCTTGGACTGATGGGGCGCCCGTGATATTTTAAAATCAGAACTTCCTATCACCCCTGAACTCCGGGGATGGAGCCTTGGACTGATGGGGCGCCCCTGATTTTAAAATCAGAACTTCCTATCACCAGTGAACTCCGAGGATGGAGCCTTGGACTGATGGGGCGCCCCTGATCTTTAAATCAGAACTTCCTATCACCAGTGAACTCCGAGGATGGAGCCTTGGACTGATGGGGCGCCGCTAATTTTTAAATCAGAACTTCCTATCACCAGTGAACTCCGAGGATGGAGCCTTGGACTGATGGGGCGCCCCTGATTCTTAAGTCAGAACTTCCTCTCACCCGTGAACTCCGAGGATGGAGCCTTGGACTGATGGGGCGCCCGTGATTTTAAAATCAGAACTTCCTATCACCCGTGAACTCCATGAGGATGGAGCCTTGGACTGATGGGGCGCCCCTGATATTTTAAAATCAGAACTTCCTATCACCAGTGAACTCCGAGGATGGAGCCTTGGACTGATGGGGCGCCCCTGATATCTTAAAATCAGAACTTCCTATCACCCGTGAACTCCGAGGATGGAGCCTTGGACTGATGGGGCGCCCCTGATTTTAAAATCAGAACTTCCTATCACCCGTGAACTCCGAGGATGGAGCCTTGGACTGATGGGGCGCCGCTGATTTCAAAATCAGAACTTTCTTTTACCAGTGAGCTCCGCGGATGGAGCCTTGGACTCATGGGGCGCCCGTGATGTTTAAAACAGAACTTCCTATCACCAGTGAACTCCGGGGATGGAGCCTTGGACTGATGGGGCGCCCCTGATTTTTAAATCAGAACTTCCTCTCACCAGTGAACTCCGAGGATGGAGCCTTGGACTGATGGGGTGCCTCTGATTTTTAAATCAGAACTTCCTATCACCAGTGAACTCCGAGGATGGAGCCTCGGACTGATGGGGCGCCCCTGATTTGCTTTGCAGAACTTCCTATCACCAGTGAACTCCGAGGATGGAGCCTTGGACTGATGCGCGCCTCTGATTTTCAAAATCAGAACTTCCTATCACCCGTGAACTCCGAGGATGGAGCCTTGGACTGATGGGGCGCCCCTGATTATAAAATCAGAACTTCCTATCACCAGTGAACTCCGAGGATGGAGCCTTGGACTGATGGGGCGCCCGTGATTTTTAAATCAGAACTTCCTATCACCCGTGAACTCCGAGGATGGAGACTTGGACTGATGGGGCGCCCCTGATTTCAAAATCAGAACTTTCTTTTACCAGTGAGCTCCGCGGATGGAGCCTTGGACTCATGGGGCGCCCGTGATGTTTAAAACAGAACTTCCTATCACCAGTGAACTCCGGGGATGGAGCCTTGGACTGATGGGGCGCCCCTGATTTTTAAATCAGAACTTCCTCTCACCAGTGAACTCCGAGGATGGAGCCTTGGACTGATGGGGTGCCTCTGATTTTTAAATCAGAACTTCCTATCACCAGTGAACTCCGAGGATGGAGCCTTGGACTGATGGGGCGCCCCTGATTTTTAAATCAGAACTTCCTATCACCAGTGAACTCCGAGGATGGAGCCTTGGACTGATGGGGCGCCCCTGATATTTTTAAATCAGAACTTCCTATCACCCGTGAACTCCGAGGATGGAGCCTTGGACTGATGGGGCGCCCCTGATTTTTAAATCAGAACTTCCTCTCACCAGTGAACTCCGAGGATGGAGCCTTGGACTGATGGGGCGCCCGTGATTTTTAAATCAGAGCTTCCTATCACCAATGAACTCCGAGGATGGAGCCTTGGACTGATGGGGCGCCCCTGATTTTAAAATCAGAACTTCCTATCACCCGTGAACTCCGAGGATGGAGCCTTGGACTGATGGGGCGCCCCGGATTTGAAAAGCAGAACTTCCTATCACCCGTGAACTCCGAGGATGGAGCCTTGGACTGATGGGGCGCCCGTGATTTTTAAATCAGAGCTTCCTATCACCAATGAACTCCGAGGATGGAGCCTTGGACTGATGGGGCGCCCCTGATTTTTAAAACAGAACTTCCTATCACCAGTGAACTCCGAGGATGGAGCCTTGGACTGATGGGGCGCCCCTGATTTTAAATCAGAACTTCCTCTCACCAGTGAACTCCGAGGATGGAGCCTTGGACTGATGGGGCGCCCCTGATTTCAAAATCAGAACTTCCTCTACGAGGATGGAGTTTTGGACTGTTGGGGCGCCCGTGATTTTAAAATCAGAACTTCCTCTCATCAGTGAACTCCGAGGATGGAGCCTTGGACTGATGGGGCGCCCCTGATTTCTAAATCAGAACTTCCTATCACCAGTGAACTCCGAGGATGGAGCCTTGGACTGATGGGGCGCCCCTGATTTGAAAAGCAGAACTTGCTATCACCCGTGAACTCCGAGGATGGAGCCTTGGACTCCTGATTTTCAAAACAGAGCTTCCTATCACCAGAACTTCCCATCACCCGTGAACTCCGAGGATGGAGCCTTGGACTGATGGGGCGCCCCTGATTTTAAAATCAGAACTTCCTATCACCCGTGAACTCCGAGGATGGAGCCTTGGACTGATGGGGCGCCCCTGATATTTGAGAATCAGAACTTCCTATCACCCCTGAACTCCGGGGATGGAGCCTTGGACTGATGGGGCGCCCCTGATTGTTAAATCAGAACTTCCTATCACCAGTGAAATCCGAGGATGGAGCCTTGGACTGATGGGGTGCCTCTGATTTTTAAGTCAGAACTTCCTCTCACCAGTGAACTCCGAGGATGGAGCCTTGGACTGATGGGGCGCCCGTGATTTTAAAATCAGAACTTCCTATCACCAGTGAACTCCGAGGATGGAGCCTTGGACTGATGGGGCGCCCCTGATTTTTAAATCAGAACTTCCTATCACCAGTGAACTCCGAGGATGGATCCTTGGACTGATGGGGCGCCTCTGATTTTTAAATCAGAACTTCCTATCACCCGGGAACTCCGAGGATGGAGCCTTGGACTGATGGGATGGGA